TTCATACTTTAACCCAAAGTCTCTATTGTGCTGATCCCTACTATAAAACTACATTCCAGTTGGTCTACAATAAACACTACATAGCCCTCCGTATTACGTGCCCGTGTCGATTCTTAAAAAGGAAACGTTTATTAGTAGGCGATTATTCCATCCGAATGAGAGTACTTGCGGTGTTAACTGATAACCAACTACAGATCAACGTGTGAACATTGTATTTAATGAGGGCGTATCGGGCGAGGCGAGGAGAGGCGAGGCCGGATCGCTTAATAAAGGATGCCTTGATAGGAAGCGCAAGCAATCACAACAACAATCACCCTATCCTCGCATGACACCGAAAACGTCCTCGTTCATAAGTATAAATTAATCCATTTAGAGGCGGGCGACGGGCGACGGGCACCGACTGCGCCCGATTAACGGAAGCGTCTACTTAACTAATTTATCCCCGGGTGGTTTTAACAGAATGGATAGCAGTGATTACGAGCAGCGGTGGCGCGGTCGTGTGACGGTCGCCGCGCGGCCAGCAGCCGGAAATATCAACAACATGATGAATATTAAATTTACGAATACAAGTATGTGTTTGTGCATCGATTGATTGTTTTTTTAAGCTTGAGTGGCAATGTATAGAACACATTATTAGTTGGGCGTATGATCGATTGGCTAAAAGGCTCTGCAGAACTACACTGCGTCTATAAACTTCCTACAAATGGGTAGATAACTCGGTAAAGGTGAGAGCAGCAACGGTGTCTCTAGAGGGCGTTCTCATATACAAACCGGAGCCTACTTTAAACGTGGTGGGTATGTCTTTTAGCCAATGAAGATGTGAATGAGACAAGAGTAAAAGGAATTGTTTTGTAACACTTCTGTGCCAAGTTTCGTCGTTGTAATAATTTCATACTACATTTGTTGGTTAGTTAAAGTAGAATTAATTGAGTCAGCTCATCTGACGCGGGACAGCATCCTGACTGCGATGCCGAAGGAAAACGCCGTTTAATCTATTAAGGCAATGAAATAATTAACAGTCAAGAACTCTTTAGATTGATTTGATAGCTGTCCAGTGCTTAATTAAGAGCTAATGGAACTACTTACTGATATAAGAGGATGTGAGGATGTACCAACATTCTGCAATTGCATTTAGTCAATTATACTATTTATACTATCGTTAACAACTTTATTCTAAAATGATTATAAAGTACCGCTACTTTTAGATAGTAAGATTCAAGTAATCCAACAAGCCAGCGAAATTTTAATAACATGGATCAAATAGAACAAAAGCATGTGGACCGAGCACTCGACAAGATGAAAGTTAAAAGGGTCGCGGGGGCTAGGGGTGGCGAAGGGGGAGCGGGTTGAATGTCTTATTCCCTCCACAATTCAGAGGTATTTCGTGTTTTTCATACGCAAATATATCCTCGTTATGGAGGCGCACGTGAGGCTGCGATTGCGTGCGCGCTCAGAAATACCTCCGCAAGGTTGAGCTACGCCCAATCGTCGCCAAGAAACACAAAGAGCAATCAGCCGAAATTCTCTTGTTTCTGTTACGAACTATTACTTTTTTTGTTATTCCTTACTGAACGAAATTATTCAGTTATCTGAAATTTGAAATATGAAAACTCGACTGTTTACTTTAATGTTCTTTAAAAATTTCATATAAATAATCAGGGGCATAAGATTAGATCAAATCATCTTGTATTAGAAAACATTGCAGATAATTTGGACCTATAATTATTATTGCATACTCAGGATGTTTGCCCAATATATCATTTAGTGGAATATTGTAAGTTAGCAATGTAGGAGTAAACTTAATAAGTTACTATGTGTTAAGTTTTCACAACCTTTTGAAAATGAAACCCTTCTATGGCCCATGTAAATTTCAGGTCACATCTAGACTTATCAATATTTTACTAAATAATTATGGCTTTTTTCATGAGATTTTGCATATATCTTAATTCTATAATATGTCAAGATAACAGATATCATTTTTTTTAAAGGCACTTTATGCCTCTCAATATTTATATTACTGTTGCTAGACCATTCAACATGAATTTACAATATAAATGTTATTGCTGAAAATACATAAAAAGCAAAACAGTTTGATCTAAGTGATAATATTTGTGTTTCATGTAATCACAGTTTCCATACACAGAAGTACAAACCGCTGTGACTTATAAGTTATTAAGTGAACATATTGCAATAAAAATGTTTGAAGACATTTATTTTTTAATTTGCATAGCTTTAAGATTGCTGATTTATATTCCTTGTTTTGTTGGATTTATGACAAAATACTTAACCCATAATAATTGAAATAAAGATGACACCCACACTCCTAAGTACATCTAAATAGGAAATATTTTAGCTATACTTAAATTACTATAAACTATGCAAATTATTTAAGATCAGAAGATGTTTGACAAATAATTAATATACAAAATGCCCGCTTCTTTTGGGAAGTCAGTCAAAAATTGTTTATAAAAGAAAATTAATCAATATTTTTAAAACAATTGCGATAGTAATATTTTTAAGTAGATAATAAAGTTATCCCATTCATTCATAATTCAATTAATTGTTATAAAACACTACTTTGCAATATTAATCTTTCTTACACCAAAGTTTCTTTAAAATTCCATGTTAAGTGCCTGTCCCACCAAATTGTAAATTGTCTGATAACAATCCAACAATATGTGATGGAAATATCAGATTTTGTTACCTTATCTAACATTGAGGTCATTGAACTAGTGGTGGCACAGGCCATAAACTTTAAAGAACAGATAAAAAACAGAAAGGTAGATTACTTGTACTAAATAAAAATAACAGTTTAATTAACATGTGGTTCTGTTCTACTTAGAGTTACATAATGAAACTAATGTATAATAATTATATTATATTATAATTCAAAAGGATATTGACCTATCCAATATAGTAACCGAGGATTGATGGTTGTTAACATTTAAGCAAATGTATTTTTGTGGTAAATAAATTACGATCTCCAAAAAAAAAATTCATAACAATGTAAATGATATCATTCCCTATAGTGTAAAGTAAAGTATATAAAAATTAAGCAGATTCACTATCACAAAGCACTACCAGTATGTACACCATCTGTATGGTTCTCACATGCAGTGAATTTCATCGTACATGTATTCGGGGAAACTGGCAGTGTTGCACCTTAAAATCTAGAATTGTTATAACAATTTTAAATGATGAACCACAAGCAATACAACACAATTTTTAAACAAGTCTGTAAAAAAAGTTGGTTAGTGATTCACACCTAATTTCTTTTTGTTATTATCCCTTTATTTCCGCTCTACACTGCTATCTAATTAGTTTTTTGTAAGAAGACTGTCTCATTGCGATAACAAGACAAGTTTTCTACGACTGTACAACTCAATGAATACATTCACTCTACAATAAATTTAGCAATGTAATAAATTTAAAGTATTTTAGTATACAGTTTTTACTTCATATTGGACACATCTTACTATTCTCAGAACATTATTAATCTATCTGGAAGGAATTTTAAAGTTCTTTCCGACTGTCACTTAAGGATTTACCCTTTTCTGTACACAGATTATAAATAAAGTAGATGAATTATTGTAGTAGTACTTGATTCATAAATTTAAGTGTGTGTGCAAGTTATTAGATAAAGTTTCATGTAGTAATTCAATATTGTAAACAAATTATAATTGTTTTGTTACCTTTGTTTGGTCAAATTCCTCCAAAAGTCTGTCATTCCTTTGCTTTTCATAAATAGCACGAGCTAATGCACTTCTGGGGCGATATAAACCGTTAACAGCCATCTTTTGATTCTCCACTAAGCTCAGTCTTAAATTCTTATATGAATAGTGTTTTTGTTTTGGACAAATGTCTTCACATACTTTATTGAGATAACAATAAAAAATATCTTTCTTACTTTGATCAGACTTGTACAAGATTTCGTGGTAACTCAGATATATTAAGTTAGAAAAAAGGAGGTAAAACAATAACATTAAATATTTTCTACAGCTTAGCTGTCCACATTTTCAAATAACCTCCAAAATGTAGAACAAAGCACAAATGTTTCTCCTTTGTATAATGCATTTAATTAAGAAATATAAATACAAATAGCTAACGGTTTTACACGGAAATTAGAAAAATTCATAACCCACAATAACTTTATTGTTGATACGTCAATGTCACATGTTTTTTGCGATATGCGAAAGAGGGCGCGGTAACAACTGTCAAGAATAAAATCGGGCTATGACACAGATAATAAAAATATAATGCGATCGTAACAATATTAGGAAGGTTTAAAAAAACAGACATTATTAAAAAGCAGATAAACCTAAATATAAAAGAAAGCCGATTGTACTTTATTTCATAAACGCTATAATTTTTTATTTAAAGTAAGATAAAAAAGGAAATGAATCGTTTTTGCTAGTAAAAAAATAATACTAACCATTTGTTGTTTGGATTCTACTGATGCTCTCGCAACAATTTCACGAAGAACATTATTCATCATATTGCTTTCACTAATTTCACTAAAAATATTAAGTAGTTCTAACGATTTAAAACAATTGTTATCAATACAATTTGACAGTGTTTTTAAAGAAATGGAACCACAGTTGCTTGATGGAGGCATTTAACAGTACTAGAGTATTTTACGGTATATTGTTTGGTGAGAGGTGGGAGATTTTATTGATTTATTTATAAAAAGTAAACGTTTGAGACCTAAATCCCGGTTCGGCCTTGGCCGTGACCGGCCGGCGTCCGTTCACTTCCAGAGCGCTGCGCATGATCACCTCTTTAATTTCAATAGAACTAATAATCAAAAATAGATTGTCATTAACATTAAAACATTGTGTGTATGCAATAAAAAATGCAGATTTCAGGCTATTGAAAGAAAACTCTGTCCTGCATAATATTACTTGAATTAAATAGAGAGATTTTCACCTTGGTTTACGTTGTAAGTGAACTTACTCGCTATTTTTGATTGCTAAAGTTTATGTAAGTAAATGATTGCTTACCTTTTTTTTGACCGGAAGAACTTTCGGTTGGTGAAAATTGGCCATTGTTTTATTGTGATTTCTTTAACTTGTTTAATATATTATTTAACTTGAAGTGAGTCCTAATATGTGGAATTCCGCAGTTATAGTGGCTATCTTCAGGTATCACTATGTAGGTTTTAGATAAAATTTCGTCGAACATGATAAACGGCGACAGATAACACGATGTTAACGCGTCGTTAACCAAATAAGATATTTGTACTTAATTTAGATTCTAACGCCGTTAGTATGTTAATTTTATAATTAACTGCAAATTTACTGGTGTAACATTAAGTAGTTACTATTATCGAATTATAAGATATACATATTACATATAAACATGCAGAAGAATAAAATAATAGGAAGGTACTTTAGATAGACAAAGATTACCTAGATAATTATGATAAAAGACAAAAGAGTAAATAATTGTGTTGCGGGTTCAATATGGCTTTTTCGATGACGCCGCTCGCCTCGAGCGGTGTCCGCTGCGCAGGCGCAGGCGCGCGCGGGACATTTAAAATAATTACAAGCCATCGGAGAGACGTAACAGCCAGTGTTTTGAGACCATTATTTATTTTTTAATTCCGAAAAATTGTTTTAAAAGCACACACTTAGAGCCTATTGACGCAATAAACGAATTTTTTATAATTTTCAAGTAATGCAAAGTGCATTATGTTATTAGCAATTTGGTGTTTTGATAATTCCGAAAATTTAATAAAATGTAAACATTGCTGTGATGATTCAAAGCAGCCTTCTTCTTTAAACTATCAGACTGCAAAAATAATTACTCATATAAATATGCAATGAAATGTATTTATATCGTGATCGTGTGGTTCTTTCCTCTAATAAAACAGGTAAATAAATCTAAATGTAACTTAATAGCGATATTAAACAAGCGACTGGCACTTGTGGTAATGTTGGTTTCATAATATTAAAAACAAAAAATGTAAGTACATTACGGTAATTATTTAAATCACACATACTCATATACATACAGTGGATCGCTTAAGTTAACACGAAATTAAATATGCGAGGAGGCGCGCTAAAGTAATACAAAATCAAGCGGTCGGTTTAATTTAAATCAGTGCTCGTAGTTTTTGCACCCCCGACCGCATTCTCACAGCGTCGAGACTGCATGCACTTCAATTCTGATTGGATCATTACCGAGTTCATCATACCCCGTGCGATCCGCCGCAGAGAGCGTCCCCCGCGCCCCGCGCACGCCCCGCCTTCGCCTACGCCAGACAAACGAGCCAGACCACATCGCACACGAATTATTCCCTATCATGATTATTGGAACATTATTGCACTCCGTAACTAACAATTGACATTAGGAAATGCAATTTCATATTGATTTCGTAATCTTGAGCGTCGTTTATTTTTATCAATGCAGCAAATCTATCTATGATTTGCGGCTTACCATCTTGGCATGCTTGTTTTCTGCGGCTCCGTGCCTGAAGGGAATATCATTAAAAGCTCGATGGGGGATTAGGCGGTTTTAAATCTACACCGGCAGGAAATCAGGCTTTAGCCGAACAAAGGGAATAAAGCGAGAAATTATCTTTTCGATGAAATATAAACCGCTAAGGTGGCAATTACATGGTTACAGATGGAGGCGTTAAATTATCAAAACATAATTTTCACATCGGCCGGAAGGTGTCGTGCGGTCACGTCTCGCGGTCGCAACGCTCGCTGCGCGATCTGATTTCGACAACAGACAACAAATTTGAGAAGCTATTTACACTGAAATATCTTGACTACTGAACTATCGCACAACTGTTGTGCGGTTGTCGGTTGTTTCGCAGCCAATTCAACTGTTTAGTTTCACAACTAAAAATCGAATAGTGTCCGCACCTCCATATAAAGTCGTAAAAATCAATGCGAGACTAAATAGTTCTGCGAGAGTTTAGTTTCAGGTGTGCGCACGCTGTAATAATAAAAAAATCGCGTATTATATTTTAGGTACTATTTCTCTACTAATAATATACTTATCTATACAAATATTATAACGAAGAAAGATTTGCATTTCTGTATTAATGTATGTATTTGATTCACATAAAAATTACTGGACCGATTCAAAAAAATCTTTCTGACTTCATAGGCCATATTTGATTATTACTAATGTTTAGGAACTATTAATAATTTATAATAAAATGATGCTACATATAAAATGTATAGAACTGTCTTTATTGTGGTATATGTCGCGAGTCAACAATACCTTCATCACGTTTCTAATAAAAATCTTTCGCTGCACATCTGTTGTTGTACAACCGCCTTTATTATCGTTAATGGACGCTCCTCTTGTCTCTGGTATGTCTGATTATTGCCACTTTTGTATTGTTATCAAATACTTTATAAATGTTTATCCATTTTACTTAACGGTAAATGTATTCATAAATATTTTTTATTTAAGATGTAACTGTATTTTAATTATAAAAACGAAGCAAAGATTTATCTTTATATTTTTTAAAGGAATGATTTATGTTACTTGATGATTAATATATTAAATTTAAGTGAATAGTGGATGGTTAGCTTTAAAACGTAAGTTTATTTTATCAATTGAAATCGATAATTTCAAAATAGCAAAGGTATTGCTATGTTACGATTGTTCAAAGTAATTAAATAATGCAAAACGATTATTTGAAATTCATAAACTACAAAATAAACTTAAATACATTCTGAAGTTGTTTCGATGATGGTAAAAAAACATAGCAATTATTACCCTAGTCAATAATCATTACTATCGGGATTGAAAAGAATTAAATATAATTCGAATAATCGGTAGGTACTGGAGCGATTCAATCTTTGACTATAAAGAGACAGGACATGACAAACCGTGCATTCCCCTTTGTCATTGAAAAAAGTTTTAAGCTTGCTTTGGTGCTCGTTTAGTGTGTAGATTTTATACCATCACCAAGGTGTACAAAACATCTTTACGACTCCTCACGTTAAGGGAATGCAGATTTTTTTTATTCCGGCACCGGCTCAGTTTAGTCCATTTTCCTATAGTCAAAGGATGCAACAAAACAATTGTAGGAGGCGGCGCGAGGCGGCCGACAGCGGAGGGCACTCGAGATTTCAATTTAGGACGTGATGATGCGAGTTTTCATTTACATTAGCCTCATGAAATCGATTACATGGAGTACGAAGAAAAATTCATGTAATTGTATTTTCTAGTGATAGGGAAAGATAATGATCGTAAATTAAAAAAAGCTCTAGCAGTATCTCATTGTTTTAACACATATATTTATAGATTGGATTTCACGATGACTTGTCTATCGATTCTACCATACATGCGAAGGTATCAAACACTGTATTATATCGAAACAGAAGTATTTTTATAATTCTCTATAAAACTTAGTACAATATTTGCTTAATGCTGCGTAATTTTATCGATGTTTACTGTATAAATAGTTAGATGCTTTGCTTATAAAATCAATAAAGTAGTTAGCATCGCGGCGTGGCGAGAGAGCGCTTGCTCGCTTGCAGACTTCGCTGTTAAAGTGGAATTTATCGCCGATGCAAATTACAAGGAAAATAATAATGAGTCCAAGTCATATCTCATTACTTAAGTTGAAGCCCAACGACTGTGGACAGGCTAAGAAATCAGGATGCAATTTGATAAACATTCCATAAGGTTCTATTGGAAATTGATATGCAATGTATTTGCAACCGTATTTATAAATTCATAAAGTTAGTTTTTCTTAAGTAAAAGGCATACATATAGTTTTGCAGTATTTAAGCACAGTAAAAGGCGTTCGTTAGGCACTTCCATAATTAAAAAATAAAATTGACGCCGGGTCGGGCAAGTGCTGAAAACTGCACTGGAACCACTTGAGTGATGCGCCGGCGCGCTCTTTTATTTTGCAATTTATTCGCTGTTCTTTTGATCTCTGTGTAAGGCTGTATAATAATTTACTACAATCCTCTGGTCATGTTACTAAAGTCTAAATGAGATATTCATTAGAGATATTGCAATTTTTAAAGCATTTCATATTCGAGGTTTTACGTAATTTTAAAAGATTGTAACTACAAAAAAATTATAACACTTAAATTACAAAACTCAACTAACCAAATAGAAATAAAGTTACGTAATTAGAGCAATAAACAATACGGTAATTTACAAGTCGCAAGAGCGTATCTTATTTTATTTATTTCTGGCAACACTAAGCGGTGTTAAGTGCTTGTATCACTGCATATTTCGTCTAGGCGTCATTAAGATTGCGGGAACAAATTGCAAGGCGCACCTCAAGGCGCATCAACGCTGAGAATAATTAAGGTCTCTTATAATTACCTGCGTCGGTGTTTAAAATGCAAATGTTGTCGCCCGCAGAGTATTCAAGTAATGTATGCGAATTGGGAAGAGATAAGGGCGAGATTTACACCTTGACGTGCCATGTCTTGGGTCTTTACCGTTCGTTGACCGAGAACGATGCCAATTTTATGTCCTTGTTACTGTTGTCATTTGTTTTTATTATTTAATCTTTTTGCTAATGAAAATGACGTGTCAACTGGTACCTATCATAATCATAATCCGATGGAATTTAATAAAGTTGGTTTAACATGTAATACAGTGGGATGTGTGGTGTGAACAAGAGAGGGTTGTTGAATTACTGCCATTTCAAACATTTGATGAAGGTATAAAATCGCCAACAAATTACCGTAATTTCAAAATCAAACCATCGAGAACTGCAAAACTCTATAGCGAGGATGGATAATCTTCAACATAAGGTTTTTATTTTGTGCCACAATACCTAGGCTAACTAATCCACTATTTTACAAGAATCTAAATAGAATATTGCCACGCAAAGGTGTTTTTCAACTAAAAACATTGCCTTCACTTGATACCAGGTACGAATATAATGGCTATGTAGTGTAAAAAAAAAAACAAAATGAGACATTTTACACGATTTGCTTAAATTGCATATGGTTTAAGTAAGAAATCGTCGGTGTAAAAGTAAATGATTCTAAAAAATTTTTTGCAATACGTCAAAAAATACCTTTGTTTTAGGTGTGATGGGTGGGAATTTTAACATCTGTTTGTATTTTTGCGCAAAAAATCGGTGTTACATTTGTGACAGGCAAATTTAGAGGGTGT